CTCGGCCAGAACAGCCAGCAAAACGCTCCTCCGGGCCAGCAGCAGCAGCAGCAGCCTAACCAATTCCCCCCACCTCCCTTCCAGAGCGGCCAGGACTGGAATTTGTCCAGCGTTCTCCACTACCTCCAAACCGAATGGCGCAAATATGAACGCGACAGAAACGAGTGGGAGATCGAGCGCGCTGAGATGCGGGTTCGTCAAGTCACTCCGTTGCCTCGTCGCGTCGACCAGCTCACCCTCTGTTCCAGGCTCGTATCGCCCTGTTGGAGGGAGAACGTCGCTCATTTGAGAATGTTAAACTCGACCTCATGCGTCGCATAAAAATGCTCGAGTATGCCCTCCGTATGGAACGGTCCGTCCTGTCTTGCTGTATCGTCTCCTTCGTTTCCTGACGTGTCGCTACACCCAGCTCAAAACAGCTCTCCCAACCTCCACCCGCGTCTTCCTCTGTTCCTCCAGCGAAGCTTGCCGCTATACAAGGCCTTATTTCCTCTACGTCTCAAAAGGATGACGTCCAGAGTCACAAGGAAGAAAGTAGCCATAGCTCTCCCCGGAGCGAGGGTACATTTCACGCTCGTCATATTTTACTGCTCTTAGTCATGTCCTTAACAGATTCTCCTCTACCAGACGGTCGCGTCAACGGTGTGGCATCTGTTGGTCCTTCGGGAAGACCGAATTCATGGGCCGGTACAACGTGGTTGAATGGCCCCGCTTCTGCAGCTGCCGCTGCGCTGGGTAAACCTCCGCCTGGCCGAGACCCAAAGAGCAGAGCACGTAGTCGCGACTACCTCAAACAGTATGGGTTTATCTCACTTTCCACGCAGCTACCTTTCACTAAACACTGTTCATTTCCAGATGTCTTCAGGAAATATCTTACCTCACGTCACCGCAGGCAATGAACCCGCTCCCAAACCGACCTCTCCTCAACAATGGCAATATGCCACTCACACTTCCAAATGCACCTCAATTTGATCAAATGGCTTACAACGGTAGACCCCGGAAAATGTTGCCCGAGTCCAACAAAGACTTTCCTATGCTGAATGGCAACATGAATCTAATGTCGGGCCCTTCGTCGGCCCCCGCCGGTTCGACTGCTGGCCAGGTTCCCTCTAATCTTGAAAGGGGCAACCCTCTTGGCCCGGGAATGCTGCAACTTCAGCAGCACCTACAACACCCCCAGCAACCGCCACAACAGTCCTCGTCCCCCAACCCGGCTGCTATGATGCAACCACCGCCGCCACCACCTCCGCAGAACATCGTGCCGTCTCAGTCACCACAAACGTCGTCGAATATCTCTGCGGAGAGGGATGAGGAGCCCCGCCAGCTGACCGCGATTTTCCGACCTGATGACGCAGGGGAATGGAAGGAGAAGCTACGGCAGTCACATGAGGCAGAGCAGGCACGTCTAGCACGGGAAAACCAGCAGGGATGGGGTGGCTCGGACGAGGAAGGCAAGGACGAGGAGGGAGACGTCGAAGATGATGAGTCGTCCGTGGTAAGCGACGACAGCGAGGGCAACAAGGTTTGGCGGCCGAAGCGGACGTTGAGAAAGTGCGTATCACAGTTTTAGCATTCCACCGCTTCAAGCTAACTCTGTCGGTCAGTCATTTGGATGCCGTTCGAGCTCTCGCTTTCCATCCGCATGAGCTGGCACTTGCTACAGGTGGAGATGATTGTACAGTGAAAATATGGCGGATGGACGTTACTGGCCTCGCTTCTTCTGCGTACGTGCCTCAACAATGATTTGGGATCGGCGTTAATGTTTCAATATCTACAGTTCACGGCCGACCACTGAAATCGAACCTCAATTGACTCTCCGAGGTCATTCGGCAGCCATAACGCGGCTGATACATGCACCCTCCAAACAATTACTGTACTCTGCCTCGCTCGACTCCTCTATCCGGGTCTGGGCACTCCCCGCCATCTCACATACAACGTACGCGCCGTATGACGAGACTCGCGCCCGTGGCGAACTTGTTGGGCACACCGATGCCGTGTGGGACCTCGCGCTCGTCCGGGACGAGAGCACACTCATCAGTTGCGGCGCCGAGGGGGCAGTGAAGGTTTGGGATGTCAGTGGACCGTCTGGAGGCGGGTCGCTCAAGCTGACATGGGGCTGGGCTGGGCTGGAGAGCGCGGAGGAGGCGCAGCTGCAAGACGATGCGGACGTGCCTGGCGCGACGGCGGTTGAGGCCCTCAAAGTCGATTTAAAAAAGGTCGCGGTTGCGTACCAGAATGCCGTCGTTAAGATATTTGATATTGAGAATGGGAAGGAATTATCGAGGCTGCCGACTGATATCAGTTATGGTGCGTTTTTCACCATGATCTCGGATTCATTTGCTGACGTTACCTCTAGACGGTACACCGGCGACCCAGATAAATCGCATAGTCTCGCACCCCACCATGTCCCTCCTCGTCACCGCCCACGAGGACAAATATATCCGGATATTCGATATAGTGACAGGTATTTTTACTGCGCGTAGAATTTTTCGACTCCACTCAACACTCTATAGGGCAATGCACCCATTCGATGCTCGCTCATCTCGACGGCGTCACGTCCTTGTCAATTGACCCGGCGGGCTTCTCGCTCGTTTCTGGCAGCCATGACTGCTCTGTGCGGTATTGGGACCTGCTTGGCTCGCGGGCATGTGTACAGGAAAGTACGACTCACCGAGAAAAGGCACGCGAGGGCGTGCTGGATGTCGAGTTCCACCCATCACTGCCCTTCATGGCCAGTGCTGGCGCTGATGGCGTGGTCAAGCTCTATGCATCATCCTCGTAGCGTTAGTTCGCATTTCGCTCTAGCCCCAACCTCTGTTCCGATTGCTACGTTCATTTGCTTTCAGTGGTGGGGACTCATTTTCGCTGCACCATAGCTTTGCTTAATAGAATGTTCATAACGGAATTCTTTTTTCCTCCTCTCTTTTCGCTACGCTTGCTTTCTTGTACATTCAAATGTTTAACGATTGTTACGAACGCAATTACTTATATATGAAGATAATCGCATCCACACTGGCAGCAATTTAGGTTCTATTGGGAATGCACAAACAACAGCAAGAGGTCTCGTTGGAGAAGCACTATGGCTACAGGAGGGCTAATTATACAGCGGCAGATGCAAAATGCAAGACGGGATAAATAGACGGTGTTGTGGGTGCAAGAGATTATATTCCTGAGTTCAAAGGAAGTTGGTCAGTTATGTTGTGCACGAGGACAAATGAACAGCCTATACGTATACACATTCCTTGACGCGCGGCCAAGATTTCTACTCCAAGCTCTTTACCCTCCAGCAGCGCTTTTATTTGCTGGATGATTAGGGTCTGGTTCGGCCGATCCGGAGCACCGTCGAGCGTGTCCTTGCAATGAATGACAATCACGCGCACGCCATCCAAGGCGCCGCGCAGTTCGCTCGGCGGAGAGGCAACCACAGGGCTCAACATCGTTCGTTGCTTTTTACGGGCAGGACGCGCAACCGGGGTCTGTGCCGCACTGTTTCGGTATTTGACTACTTCAGCAGCGAGGACTTCGAGTTCGCGGACGAGGTGCTCGGGTTTCAGGTGGCCGTAAAGCGTGTCGTCGCTCCGAGAAGACGGCCAGGAGCATTCGATAAATATGGTGGACAGGAATGCGGGAATTTTCGGCGCGGCGGCGCGCCATACGTTTATGGTTCGCGGGAATTTACTAAGCGTGTCTGGCTCGAGATCACCGAAGAAAAGAAATTCGAGCTTCGTGGGGTCGTAGCGGATGAAAAATGCCGTCGAATCGTAATTTCCTGCTACGTTGTGTCCATGAGACAACGGCAAGGTTCGGACGGAGACATTAGGCATGATGAGATCGTAGGAGTCGTTCATGCCAAGTCTAACGAGAAAATGAGTAAACAAGAGGTGAGGGGGTAGGACCACGTACAAACTGTACAGCAGCTTATGATCGTCGTCCTCCTCCTTCCAAGAAGCCAGGTTTGGCCATATGCGGTCTGCGAAGACGCTTTCTAGGTCAGCAAGAGTCTGCTTCGCGCCGAAGATCCGCTTCCGGGGTCCACCCAATGAACCAGCCGACAGAACGAGCGACGTGACATGATCCAGGTGTGCATGGGAAACGAGGAAACAACTGTCGCGATGCTTGTTTATTTCGTGCTAAAAAGTAAGGGACAAGAGACGAACCGCACGAGCGAGTAGATTTCAGTTGCCGAGTATGGCTTTTCGCGCACTGGCTGATCGGGAGTGTCGAAAAGATGTGGGTCGGACTGGAGAAGTTTTTGAACGGTTCCCTGACCGGAGCCTGGGTTATATGGTGGAGATGTTCAATAAGACGTTTTCCTGAAATAATTGATCGTCCTCCGGAACGAACCTGCCTCCAAGGCGACTATACCATCTTCCCAGGCAGCAACAGAAGGCTTGAAGAGATAACTGTCGGGTAGAACAGGTGAGGTTGTGGCTCGTATATGCGCGTTCACTGCTGACCTTGACAGGTTGGTCTCGTCGGGACCTCCCCCTTCACCAACGACTACGAGGTCGAACATAAGAGATGGGCGACCTCTTTATTTGGCCAGGAACTGTTCGGGGTCGAACAGAAACACAGTGAAGGCGGGCAACCCTGTTGGCTGATCGTGGATCGCGGATGTAGACGCGCCGATAAATAGCAGCAGAGAGGGGTAGAGGAAAGTAATAAGGTGGTGCCCCAGCCTTGTTATAAGTTGGGCTGAGAGAACCCAGCGTCAAGACCAGGGCAGTGGCGCTTTATCTATTGACAACTTCAAGTGGCAGAAGGATTGAACGCATTTGATTGCGTGGCGTGAATGCAATGCATTGACAAAGTTCGACTCAAGAAAATACAAAGACCCTTTACAGGTCATTGTACTCGTTGAACAGCGTCTCAGACAGTCACAGAGATTCGAAACAATTAAAATCAGAAGACCCTCCGAGCATCCCTTGTACCGCAAATTGGAACATATGCTGGAACCTCATGGGTACCAGGATTTATAGCAGCAAAACAATAAAATTACCAGTCACTACCGCGGTTCGAACGCGGGACCTCACGATCACGTGATTTGACAACGTGACTGAACACATGACTTTTGTTGCAATCGTATGCTCAACCACTAAGCTATAGTGACTTACCCAACACTTGCAGGTTGACATTGTGAAGGACCAACAGATGTTTGGCACAGCTCCCATTTCAGTTGCCGTAAGTGACGCGCCCATTTTGTTCAGAACCAGAACGAGACTGCTCAATATGGCAGAAAAGAACGAGGTCGCGTCGAAGAACGAAAAGTAACCCTGTCTCTTCTGGTCAAGATTCCTTTGAAAACCTCATTCTATACCAGAGTCTTCCGGGTGTTCAAAGACAAACTGTCCAGAACTGACAACTATCCGCATTTCTGTGTAAAGTTCGGGTCATGGCTCAGTAATGAAAAGGCATATTATCCCGAAGCCCGACCTACGGTCATACTTCTCGAAGCCCTATCCGTGCGTATACTGACCTGCAACACAGATCGTGGAAATTCTACTGGTGTTTTGATTCTCTGCGCCGTCAACGAGTTCTAATTGGTTGAAAGACCGCAGAAGACACCCTCCGCACGGCAGTGCACTCCATGGGGGATACCTATCCCGCTTTGGCTTCCGCTTTTATTGAACTTGTAAACACTGTAGCGCCTTACCAGGACCGCTTTGAACAAGATCTGCAAGGTCAGCAGGCAGATTTCAACGCGCTGCAAGGTTGAACGGTATTTGTTGTCAAGCCTCCCTTCAGCATCTTTTGCGTACTGTTCAAGAAATGCAAAATCCTCCCCAACATCAAAATCCTCCTCGGTAATCTATTGCCTTGATCTGCCGCCGTGCACCTAAGAATATCTGCGCTTCTAGGCATACAGCACAAGATACGACACCTTTTCCGACAGCGCCTGTCATTGAACCTAGTCAACGGATGCGCCCTAGCTCTTCGTCCTTGGCCGATGCCTTGACTCCCACTTCGGCCACTCAAGTTTCTGCCCCTTCGCCTCTGGAATCGAAAGCGGCATCTGGTTCTGTCGTTCCTCTATCAACAACGGATGGTCCTCAAGTACCCATCACAACAACAGTAATGAAACGTGTATCTTATTCATTCGATCGCCTGATTTTTCTACATTCAGGTTCAAGCAGTTCCGTCCTCCTCGACCACCCCCAAGCTCAACGTTAACTCAGCAATCGAAGCTGTCTCTACCTCTGCTCCCGCGCCAACTGTCAAGACCAAAAAGAGAAAGAAGAATAAGAAAGATGATTTCTCCAGTCTGCTTCAAGTTGATGTTCAGAAGTATTACGAGAAACGAGGCGTGAAGCAAATAGCTTCAGAAGGAATCTCCTCCCCAGTGGTTGGCACACCAATAGACCTCACTCAGGCTTCTCCAGCATCAACTGCTTATCCAGTCCAGGTTCCAGAGGCTGTCATCACCCCTGTGACTGCTGCCGCGACGCCTCCGCCACTCCACGTTTCCTCCCCTACTGAGGGTACTCGGACCGCTTCAGCTCCGATTCCTGTTGCTGATTCTTCCTCCGTTATACTCACACCTCTCACACGGGGGCCGCCTTCTCGCCCTCCAACCCCAAAACCGGAACACAACCCACCACCTCCTGCGGACAGAGTACAGCCCATTGATGGCTCAAGCATGATCGAGGTCGACCAGCCACAATCTCAAGATGCCGATATGATGGTATGTTCCAGTGCAGGTATTACCGTATAATCAATTCAAGATAATCTCCCGTACTGTAGATCGCAACTTCCGGAGAGGATGTTCAACTGTCCTCTGAGATGAACGACGAAGTCAACCGTGTGCTCTTCAATCTGACGGGGGTGTCGCATCTAGCAGTAGCCGATAGTACTCTCGAGGTTGACGAGACGATACCTCCGCCGGCATCTATGGCCGTCGACAACTCTGTCGATCCACCACATCCTACAGCAGATGCATATTCATCCATCAAAGCAGAATCTGAAAATGCTGTTGAGAGTGCCGTCGACGACGCTGTAGACATGGACCTTGACGCGACGCCAGAACCTGTTCCTGCCCCCGCGCCTGAGGTCAAAGTGGACCCTACGCCAGTAATGACGTCCCCAAGAACCTTCCACGCAATTATTGAAGAAATCGTCAACGACGCCAACAGACGCATGGCTTTGGTACTCAATCTTGTAGCTCATGACTGCGTAATTCCTACTCAACGGGGTCTAGCAGGCTCCCCGTCAAGAAGACTTACCCCTTCCCAAGACCCCAGCTGATTTTATCGCGGACGCCACGCCGTCAACGAGTGCGTTTTGACAGGCTCGTACCATTGCAATCCTCATACTTCCCGCAGAAATCGACCTTGAAATCGCAACGCTGGTAGCCAGGCACCGCGGGTTAGCCAGCGGCTCAATTACCTTGGACTTTACAGTCAAGCAACACCACGCGGATGGGATATCAAAGTGGACAACTCGTTCAGAACATGACGAGTAGGTTTCCATTGGTACAGTGGCCTTCTACTCTGACTAGTAATAACCACGTAGCGCACTCGAAGACAGTTGCTGTCTGAGTCTTCTATGTTTTAAGACATCTGACATTGAATCGATGACTTCCATGCAAAGTCGAGATCTTCAGGTCGTTCTGCCTTGTTTTAAGTGTTCATGGCCTCAGAACGGTATGCTTCCGCGTCAGCCATGTCCTGGCCTCTGATTTATGCCCCCTTCTTCAAGGTGGGTTATCTCTGGACGCGCCGTGGAAAGGTCAACGTACAACATTTCCATTGTCGCCGCCTTTTTCGGTGCGTCGACGGCTCATCCATCAGCACTAATTTCACTCACCATTCACCAACAGCTACCGCCGAGCGGAATGCTCGACGTCTCTTTATTCTCGACGCCCGGGCACAACACTTTCCGTATCACCCAGACGCGGGACATGACTGGATATTTTCTCCTCCTTTGTGCACACAATCCTACCCCTTCACAGCTTGCTGCGGTCGCGCGCCGCCGCCACAAGGAGAGGGATTGGGCGGCTTGGCTCAAGAAAATATCAGACCCGTTGCAGCTACCGTTCAGTACACCTAGTATCCAGTTGTAATTTAGGAATGCAGTATATATCTCGCATAGCTAAAAGCATAAATTCTCTTGAACGCCAAACCACAATTGGTCTGCAGAGATCTCGTTGCATCGAATCCTGAATCGGCGCTCCCGAATGAAACCGAGCTTCATTGCAATAACGGCCGCTAGAATTGGCGGAAGATGTGGTTCAGTATGCAACCGTTGGTTTTGATTAAGCGCATGCTGTTTCTATCTTGCTTTCGCTCCCGACGGGTGACCGGTGACCACCGGATACTTATACGATTTTAATGGTGTAGTATAAGACATACAGCAGATCCAAAGGTTATTCGTGCGTACAACAAGCGTACAGTCCCAACGTAAAGGAGAAAACAGGTTTCATGGCATACATTCATTAATATCATCACAGTAAGGAATGTGCTACTTAAATATGTACAGCATACAGATTAAGTTACTGAAGTCACTGAGCGAATGTTGGAATTGGAATCCTACTGGTGGAAAGCCTTCTCGAGGCTGGTGTTACATCAGACGGCCGCCGCCTCAGAGGGGCAGCGGCATCTGCATTTTCTTTGCCCTGCTGAATAGCGGGCGATGAAGGTGTTGGCAGTTTCACAACCTTAGTCTTACCCGCGACCACTGTAGCCGACGAAGACCGGTTGAGTGGTCGCGAAGCAACTGGGGGTGAGCCGACAATCGACGACCGAGATCTGAGCGGGGGAGGCCCCATAGAGCCACGCTTCGAAGGTGTCGGCGCGACGGAAGTACTGAGACGCAAGCTCTTGTTCAGAGTAGCTGCATTTTTGATGGCACTTTCGGTGGAAGGTTTGCGCTCCCTGGAAAGATCGACACCGACTTCGGAACTGAAGGAAGGTGGCCGCGACATCTTAGGAGCAACGGAGACAGAAGATTCGCGACGATGATGGGTAGCCGCAGGGGGTTTTGAAGCCGTAGTATTCCCTGCGGTTCCACGGACGCCAAGACGTCGCTTGAGCTTTTGGGATATTTAGCTCGTGCCGTATACACACAAAATGCAACTCACCAACTCGAGTTCCTGTTGCTTTGAGTCCAACGCGATATTCAGACCTTCCAAGTCCAGCTTGTCTTGCGAACGCTGCTTGGTAATATGTACTATCTGAACTTCCTTGTCCGCACTTTCCTGCTGCAGATCGCGATTTTGACTCTTCAGTCGGTCGACGTCAGCCTGGAATTCATACAGCGCCGACGCTTGTGTGTCGATCTCCAGTTGTTTCCTTCCCGAGTCCTGGAGCGCAACTTCAAGAGCGGCAGCGTGTTCCCGCTGCATCATAGCCAGCTGCTGGCGAAGCGCTTCCACTTCACCCGTACCTCTTTCCCGATCGCGTTGCCACTCTTGCTTCAATTCTACGACCTGATTCTCGCTGCGCTTGAGTTTCTCCAAGATCTGGTTAAAGCGCCCTCAGTAATCGAAATTGTGATGCGAAAGGCGGCATACCTGATCTCGTTCACTCTCCAACGACTCCTTGACACGCCACACACCTCGTAAGTCATCCTCGAGATCGATAGCCTTTCGTTCGGCAACTTCAACGCGGGCATGCCTCTCTTGCAGTTTGGCAACTTGGAGCTTGAGCGAATCACGCTCCATCGCAAGTGAACACTTGCCCGCCTCTGAGACCTCGGCAGATCTCGCCAACCTGTCGGCGCGGTCACAGACGACAGCGAGCTCTGCTTTCAGTTCAGCGATCTCGTCGTCCCGAGCACCTATCCGCTGCTTAGAGACAAGAAGCTCTTCAACCAGCTCTGCGTTACTGCGCTGAAGATCGTCCTTCTCCGTAGTCCAAGCCATCTCGAGACTTTGATGCCGCTGTTTCTCTTCTTCCCCGCTTGTCTCCAGGGCCAATACGGCTGCTTTCAACGCTTCCTCGGCCATTCGTTCCTGACATTGCTTTTCGCTTAGACTGCCCAAGGAGTCCCTCAATCTCGCTGCCTCATTGCGTCTTTCACCCGCTAACATCTCTAGACGTCGTAACTCCTCTCGGAGAACGACCTCCGTCTTCTTCCATGCGTCCCTCTCCCGTTCTAGACCTGCGATCTGGC